TACGGGGAACCATGCAAAAAACGCATCTTCGCACGGGCAGCCCGTGCGTTGGCCAATTTTTTTTTATGCTCTGTTATTGTTTAACTCGAAAATGCATAATGGCATTATGAAAATTACACAAAAAAACTCAGCATCGAAAGACCTGGGGCAGTTGTTTTCGTCTTGTGAGAGCATCCCAGTAACATCACCGACGTGAGATATTCACAACGATTGTCCAGGCCGTCTTCTTATTCGTTGTACTTTTTTTTTTTCAGGTTTTCCATAAATGGCGGCAGCTCAGTCGGAGCAGTTTTCAACATCGCTGATTTTCAACGAGCAACAGCGCGATCTCATTCACCATGTTGCATTCGATTTTCACGGTCGTCGCCTTGCCACCTCGTCCAGTGATATGATGGTGTGCGTCTGGGATCTGTCACCCCAAGGCAACTGGGTGAAATCCGCATCCTGGAAGGTTACTTTTTCCTTCATTTTTTAGGTGTTGGATGGGGGCTTCGGGTTCTGGTGGCTTCGGAGATTAAGGTTAAGATCGGTAAGAGCCTGAAATGCCTGGATCATTTGCTGATTTGCGGCTTGTTCTTCATTTGTGCAATAGGAAACTTTTCTCGTGGCTTGATGCTTATGAGTGAATTAGTAACGCCAGAATTTTCGCATCATTTTTTTTTTCGATTGCATTACTAACTTTAGTTTTATTTATTTGAACACAAAAATGGCCAGAATTTTTTCCCCATTCTGCTTGCTCATTCACTGAAAAAATGCAAATTTGAAGGAAGTCGAAAAAGAATTTTAAAATCTGCAAAATGCGCTCGCCTTTGAGTTTGAGACAAAATTGGGTATTTCTCATGCCCACCTGCAGGGAATTTCATCTCCAAATTGAGTTATGCCCACACATAAAAGTAGAATATTCCAGCGAAGTTTCAACCTCGCACCTTATCTGGTAAGCGAAATAGTCACTTCATCACAAATATCTTTGGATTGCCCTAAGTCTTGGCGCAAGCGCAATTCGAGACTCAATTTAGGTATACGATTTCCCATACCAACAGTAGGCTGTATGCATTCCTTTTTTGTTCACAACTCATTTATATGCATTGTAGAGCCACGGTGGACCGGTGTGGAAGGTAGTTTGGGCGCATCCTGAATTCGGACAAATTCTAGCGA